TTGTGGTGAGAACTGTGAAACTGTGTCGTTGTGTGTGGTGATGGTGGTGGTTGTGGTGTAGGATGGTGGTTGTGTGGTGATGGTTGTGTGTGGTGATGGTGGTGATGTGTGGTGATGGTGGTGATGGTGATGGTGGTGGTTGTGGTGTAGGATGGTGGTTGTGTGGTGATGGTTGTGTGTGGTGATGGTGGTGATTGTGGTGATGGTTGTGTGTTGTGATGGTGGTTAGGTTAGGTTAGGGTCGTTAATTTTAAAGGTGAAGTAAGCTGGGGGTGCCTAATCTTCACGTGATCCCAGTATTCCCCCCCCCCCCACGCAGCCAGGTATTAGTATGTGCAATTACAGGTATCGTATTACATTTTATAACACCACATTACCGTACTGCATAACAAATACAATTACGTTGTGTTTATTTAGCGTTTTCATTACACGTCGGATTTCACTCTTCATTTGTTTTTTCGACACTTCCTGTTCTTGTGTGACGTAGATAATATTACGTATTTTTCTTGAGGCGTATTACAGTAAATCAGCCTCAGGTAAGATGCTTGTGGAGGGGGATACAGGAGGGTGTTTTGTTCACCTGCTGATTAGACACCCTAGCTTATTTCACCTGATGATGGAACACTAACGTTACCTGGGAGGGGGGGGGTAAGATAATGTCCTTAGTGCACACACACACACACACACACACACACACACACACACACACACACACTGACCCACATACTCGCTCTACACGCTAATTGTCACTCAGAGCCTTACACTTTTCTTCATGTCAAACTCTCTGTTACATTTTATTGTATTATTATTAAGGTAAATTGTAGTTATTAGTAGCGTGGCCCTCAAGGTGGCTCGCGAGTGTTGGCTGGAGGATAGAGGGTGAGCTTTCTCCATGTGTGGGGGGGAGACGCGTGCGTGTGTTTGTGCATATTTACATGCGTGCGCATGTGTGTTTGCCAGCGTATATGTATAATTGGATGTATCTATCTATCTGTGTGTGTGTGTGTGTGTGTGTGTGTGTGTGTGTGTGTGTGTAGTCACCCAGTAGGCCTAGATAGGTTGTAAATATGGCCACAAGTGTTATACTTGAGGTTGAAGGAGTGTTGTAGAGGTTGAGGTAGGTTGTGATCCTCCTCAGGTAGACACAACATATGTCAGAGTTAGTAAAGAGTGGAGGGCCGGGGTCACCAACCCTCAGACAGGTGTACGGTGGTAGAAGGTCGTGGTTTAGTATCAAGTTGATCTCACCCCAACATACCCTGCACCGGGGACAGTGTGAAGGCCTGTTGTAGAACTGCAACTGTTGTATTGTTGTGGGCGGTCTTGAGATGCTGTGTTGGCGGTCACCACAAGTGTTGGAGCTCACTAAGGATACTACTGGAGATCATTAAGGGCAGTAATGAAGACGAGGAGGGGCAGTGGAGGAGGCCAACCTGTACCTTGACCTCCAGTGCAGCAGAAGCGGGCAGTTGCCCCCGACGTGTGGAGGAGAAGGAGGCAGCAGCGGCGCCACCGTCGAGGCTGACAATAGCGGGCGGTGGAGTACACAGGGGTGCGTGCTGGTGCTGCGTTTGTTCAGGCAAGTCAACGTCAGTTTCCAGTGGGCGTAGGTGGCTCGCTGTACCAACCACCAGCACGAACAACACACACCAGTCTAGTACATGTCTGGCCTCTGCTTCTCAAGGGGTCATACCTTAAATTTTCCCCCTAACTGGAGATGTGGGAAGGCCTATGAGTACCTAATTAAACCTACGACACAAAATTCATATTCTAAGAATCTCGAAAGATAGATTCCCCCACTAATTGGATATCTGAGAGTAAATCTACACGACTCGCTTAAGCTACGACACAAAAATGGATTCTGATTGGTTCACACATAAATTTTCCCCACAAAGATGGAGTCTCATTGGTGGGTGGAGGTTGTTTGTAACTACAGGTGTGAGGGGACATCTAACTGGCTCACCTGTGCTGAACCAATAAGTTAAGGGCAAGTCAGGGTCTAAGATACACTCAGACTGCCGTTAGTAGATCTGTCCTCTCGTCCACAGTTAAGAGAAACCGTATATAAAGGAATATTGGAGAGAGAGAGAGAGAGAGAGAGAGAGAGAGAGAGAGAGAATACGACAATAAAGACGAGACATGACATGAAACAAGATAAAAGAAAATGGATGAGGGAGAGAGAATGTGTGTGTGTGTGTGTGTGTGTGTGTGTGTGTGTGTGTGTGTGTGTGTGTGTGTGTGTGTGTATACAAAGCAGGTACACAGCAGCGTCGAGGAGGCAATACGACCAAGTACGACCTGCCTACCGAGGTGGAACCGGAGGAACGACCTTACCCTCCTCACCTTAATACCTATTCCCATTTTCTGCGTCACGCATACGGTCAACCTGCGTCACGCACTGTATTATGGCTGAACTAACACAAAATATTATTAAAGATGGCAACATTCTTAAGGGGTTATAACGTATCTTTGGGCGGCTTATCTCGTATACATTCCAACATGATTGACTTAAGAGTTAAATGGACAAAAAAACTACGAGTGTGTGTGTGTGTGTGTGTGTGTGTGTGTGTGTGTGTGTGTGTGTGTGTGTGTGTGTGTGTGTGTGTGTGTGTGTGTGTGTGTGTGTGTGTGATTAAGGCTGAAGGTAGATGGGTAGAGATAGATGGAGGGAATTGAGTGAGTTATGCTGGAAGGTGAGGAGGGGGGTGTGAGGAGGGGAGGGGTGGAGGTGTAGTAAGAGTTGGAGGACAGACAGAGTGAAGTGTCGGGGAGGAGGAGAAGAGGAGGGCCTGAACACCGTGGAGTGTACGTGTGTGTGTGTGTGTGTGTGTGTGTGTGTGTGTGTGTGTGTGTGTGTGTGTGTGTGTGTGAATCTTCTTGGATGATACCTGGCAGCCTGCTATCCTTTGTTGTGCTGTGAATATGTGATGTTTACAGCATGAGAGAGAGAGAGAGAGAGAGAGAGAGAGAGAGAGAGAGAGAGAGATTTATGGACTTAAACTATATAAAAAAAAACCTAGCTCCTGATGCCATTCGTACCCCCAAACACCACACACCAAAAAAAAAAAAATACCTCCTCCTCCATCAGGAAGAACCAACTGACCCCTACACTGTTATATCAAGCAGGAGTGTGTGTGTGGAGGAGGAGGTGAGGGCATTAAGGACTCTTGTATTACACTCAGGCTCTCCTCAGGGCTAACAGTATTGGACACAGCGTTCCCATGCACATTACCTCACCCTATGACCCTGGAGGGCGACCCCAAGCTTGTCCTGTGTGTGTTAAGCGGGCCCGTGTGTGTGTGTGTGTGTGTTAAGCGGGCCCGTGTGTGTGTGTGTGTTAAGCGGGCCCGTGTGTGTCTGTGTGTGTATTTGGATGATTATTGGTAACTGTGATTGGATGATTGTGGTTTAAGAGAGTGATTGTAAGCTGTGATTGGTTGGTCTTAACCTTTGGGTGAGTGACAGAATTGTGTGTCATTGTTGTTGTTGTTGTCAAGAGGTAACACGTGTGTACCTCATGACCCTGGGGCAGGAGGCATTGTTACCATGATACAAAGGGGGTGTTACCGTGATATGTAGGGGGTGTTACCGTGATATGTAGGGGGTGTTACCGTGATATGTAGGGGGTGTTACCGTGATTATGTGGGGTGTTACCCGTGATATGTGTGTTACCGTGATATGTGGGGGTGTTACCGTGATATGTGGGGGTGTTACCGTGATATGTGGGGGGTGTGATATGTGGGGGGTGTTACCGTGATATGTGGGGGTGTTACCGTGATATGTTACCGTGATATGTGGGGGTGTTACCGTGATATGTGGGGGTGTTACCGTGATATGTGGGGTGTTACGTGATATGTGGGGGTGTTGTGATATGTGGGGTGTTACCGTGATATGTTACGTGATATGTGGGGGTGTTACCGTGATATGTGGGGGATGTGATATGTGGGGTGTTACCGTGATATGTGGGGTGTTACCGTGATATGTGGGGGTGTTACCGTGATATGTGAAGTGTTACCGTGATATGTGGGGGTGTTACCGTGATATGTGTGTTACCGTGATATGTGGGGTGTTACCGTGATATGTGGGGTGTTACCGATATGTGGGGTGTTACCGTGATATGTTAGATAGTGTTACCGTGATATGTGGGGGTGTTACCGTGATATGTGGGGGTGTTACCGTGATATTGTGTTACCGTGATATGTGGGGGTGTTACCGTGATATGTGGGGGGTGTTACCGTGATATGTGGGGGGTGTTACCGTGATATGTGGGGTGTTGATATGTGGGGGTGGCGTGATATGTGGGGTGTTACTGTGATATGTGGGGTGTTGTGATATGTGGGGGGTGTTACCGTGATATGTGGGGGTGTTACCGTGATATGTGGGGGTGTTACTGTGATGTGTGATATGTGGGGGTGTTACCGTGATATGTAGAAGTGTTACCGTGATATGTGGGGGTGTTACCGTGATATGGGGGTGTTACCGTGATACTGTTACCGTGATATGTGGGGGTGTTACTGTGATATGTGGGGGTGTTACCGTGATATGTGGGGGGTGGTGTGGGGGTGTTACCGTGATATGTGGGGTGTTACCGTGATATGTGGGAGTGTTACCGTGATATGTGATATGTGGGGGTGTTACCGTGATATGTGGGGGTGTTACCGTGATATGTGGGGGTGTTACCGTGATATGTGGGGGTGTTACCGTGATATGTGGGGGTGTTACCGTGATATGTTTACCGACCGTGATATGGTGTTACCGTGATATGTAGGGTGTTACCGTGATATGTAGGGGTGTTATCGTGATATGTGGGGGTGTTAGATATGTGGGGTGTTACCGTGATATGTAGGGGGTGTTATCGTGATATGTGGGGGGTGTTACCGTGATATGTGGGGGGTGTTACCGTGATATGTGGGGGGTGTTACCGTGATATGTAGGGGGGTGTTACCGTGATATGTTTCGAGGCTTCTCTCCCTCACGACTCCATATTGTTTCATTTACAGTACTGACAGAACTGGACGGCCTCTCTCGCGACGCTGCAGTGGCCAAGTACGGCTCGGTAGGTCATGCAGTGAGGGTGCGGGAGGGCGCTGCGGCTGCACTCCACTACCTGCGGGAGACCAAGCCGCAGTCCCTCAAGTGTGTCACCTCCCAGGGTTCCGTGCTCTCCTCCACCACCTTCACTGCTGAAATGGACATGCCTGTGAGTATAAGGATCTTCTTCTATAGCTTCCTACCACTCTACTGTGACGACCTCTTACCACATCCTACTACCTCTACTACTTCCTTTGATCTCCTGCTACGACTTTCTTGTGACCTTATACGACTTTATGTGACCTGATACAATTTTGTGACCTATGACCTCCCGCATCTTACATATGGTAATTTATTAAATGGGCCCCAGTTCTTATCACTCCCGGTCCTGGTGGTCTAAAAGTATACTAATGACCCCAGTACAGTATATTAAGGACCCCCGTACAGTATATTAAGGACCCCAGTATACTAATGGACCCCGGTTCAATAGTCCCTAATTTAACCTTAAACAGTATAGCCATTACGTGACCCATTAATTTTTCTTTTATTAGGTTAACTTGAATACAATTAGGACTCATATGACCAACAACTGTAATAATTTTGTTCTCTGTTCTTTAATCCTTAACTGATATAACATTCGTAAAGTACAAAATGGGTGTTTATTCTTTGATTAATTTATCTATTGACACGTATTTATTTCTTTGTTGACAAATATCTGAATACTGACACATGTTCCGTCTACAGTCTTTGATATTTGTAACATCCCCCCCACCCCCTCCCTCTTAACTGGTGATAACAGTACGTTGTTTACTTAGGCTAGAGTCTCGGCATAAGTACGACTCCATTTTGTTTATTTTGTTGTTGTGTTATTGACCCTTTTAAGATAGGATTTTTATATAATTTTAAAGTCTGTCAAGGGTTAGGTCAGGTCACCTTACATTGGGTGCGTCAGACCAGGTGATGGTGGCACATATTGTGACAGTGTACAGTAAGTTGTGACCCTCGTCTGCGCGGTGGTATACATACAGTACAAAAGATAACTGAGAATGTAAACCACTTTGGTGTACATGGGAGTTTACAACACAATGCAGAATTTACAGAGTATACAGCCACTTGGTCCTGTTGTGGATGTGCTGGTGTTGGTAAGTAAAACAGCCACTACCTCTAGGCCAGGACCTCCCCCATCAGGCGGCCTTGTCAAGTGGTCCAGCTAACACTCCAGCATCTCGTGCTTACTGTGGTGCTTTCATTGTGGACGCTGAGTCATCATAACACTGCCACAAGTCTCCGATTAATTCTCTCGTCCCTGGAGATATAAGAATGTGTTTAGCTTACTGCTTAGCACAGATAAAAAATTACTTCCATAATGGCCAAGAGACTTGATAAGATGAAGATTACATTAATAAGTTCTGTTAATCATGGTTAGGGGGTGCGGCGGCCGAGTGGACACAACACTCATTTGCTGTCCTAAGGGTCATTGGCCTGCACCCTGCAACCCCACTTCACCCAACTGTGAATGTGTACCTACCTTTACAGTTGGGGAAGTAAAGGCAGTCGAGTACAGTGCCGCCCACACTGCCTTCCTGTGTACTGAAGGCTTTGTATTCAATTTGATGTATCCAGACTTAAACGGTCCGTCACACCACTGGAGGCTTTTTGGAGCTAAACCATCTTTGATGTTAGAATTGGATATAAAGTGTAGAACAGAAAAACTCGTAAAAACAACATCCACAGCCATCAGTGTACCAGAAGTGTTGGGTTCGGTTTTAGAGTCCGTAATAATGGTATTGTTTGTGATATACGAGTTTACTGAGGTAGTTAGGTGTTACTCGACTTGCCATACAGCAGCTATTATTATACAGTGCACCGCCGTGACAACTGGAAGGGGGGCGACCACAGAAACGCTTCATGATACCACAACAGTCTGTAGTTTTGTTCTTCCATTATATAAAGGTAGCGAGGTGAGGCGGTACGTGAGGTGGTTCTCACAGCCAACACCACGACATCACTATCATTTACAGTGTTCAGGAGGGACTACAGGAGAGTAAGTTGATTATCATGACGGAATATCTGGTGTAAGACTCATCATGGTAATAGGTCTTACGGTCCTTGGGTGGTAATATGTTTCTCTTGTGGTATAAAAGAACTGAGTTTGAACTAAAGCTCTGGACACAGACTTAGTTCTGTTTCTCCATTGTGGTGCAAATGGCATTGAGCTTCAGGCGGACCACCAGAACAATGGATGGAAATACAGTAATTAAGTCTCGTTAAATGATGAATGTACCTGTACAGTATTTTATGTTCAGAATATCTGCTATTTAAGATGTAAAGAATGACTCCTACTGTACACTCTGTTTTTTTATATTAGTTGAACATAACTGCACTTCAGCAACAAAGGCCTTTAAGTGGGTATTCTTTATTAATAAATGCGTTAGTAATCGACACTTAAAGATTTTGAAATAATCATATCTTTTTTGTGTATGAGTAATAAAAAAAATGCTTGTTCTAACAATATTTTGCTTGCCGACGTCCTGACAAAAGTACAAAGTTGTTATGATGCAGCACACCAGCCAGGGTTCAACATTATCGCCCCCCCCCCCCTCTCTTCCGTAATGCTAACTGGGATGTCAACGCTACCTGGCAGGAAGGTCACAGGTGGTCAACACTAGCTAGCAGAGAGGTCACAGGTTGTCAACACTAGCTGGCAGGAAGGTCACAAGTGGTCAACACTAGTTAGCAGAGAGGTCACAGCAGGTCAACACTAGCTGGCAGGGAGGTCATGGGAGGACACAGGTGGGCGTTGGCTAACAGACCCCTTCATGTTGTAAGATACTGTAGGATCTTGCAAGACACGTAGAAGGAGCAGTCATGCGGCAAGGATTATGAGCTGGAGGAGAAGGAGAAGAAGAGGAGGAAAGAAATAGGTGTAGAAGAGGGGAAGGGGGAAGTTAAAGAAGTAGAAGGAGGAAGGGGGGGAAGGAAAAGGATGTTAAAGGAGGTGGAGTAGAAGGGAAGCATTACTGGTTAAGAAGAGAAAAAAGAAGAAGAGAGAGTTGTAGGCCAAGACCATGACTCTAGTTAATACAGCCTACGTCAGATGAACATATACCTGCTGGTTGCTCACACTGGCGCTCATTTTATAATAGGAACAGTCATATGTAAGAAGCTGTTTCACGTTAGTTGTACTTACCTGGCCATAACTTAACCAAATATAACCTAAGCTAAACTAACAAAATCTAACCTAACCTAAATTAAACTAGCTGAATCTAATTTCACTTAAACTAACAAAGTCTAATTTAATTTAACCTTAATTTAAGCTAACATAACAAGCTAACCTAACCTAACATGACCTGGCTGTGCTGTTTCTGGTGTAAGACTTGGTTAAGGAAGTGAGAATGCATTCACGGGGTCGTCGCCTCTGACCACACTATGTTTACCTTACACCGGGTTGCCTGCCTCTTCCTCTGGATCATTACCCAGATGTGGAATTCTCACCTGGCCACGCCCACCACCTAGCCACGCCCACCACTTAGCCACACCTACTGCTTACTGTGCTCCTGGCAAGAAAAATGTGAAATTACATAAATGATCATTAGCAAGACAAATGACCCATGTTATTTTTTTCTTCACCCCCTCTCCTCCTCCCTGGGTCCATAATGAGCGTGAGAAGGAGGATCTGTAGTCACATTGGCTAGATTCCCGGGGCACCCAACTGTAAATGGGTACCTAACTTTACAATTGAGGGAAGGGGAGGTGGTCGAGTTCAGTGTCGGCCTCGCTGCCTCCTTGTGTACAGTGTGATTTATAAGACTGATGAGCTAAAGTCAAAGTATTTTTTTTTTAACTGGTTGACTGAGTTCACTGTTATTTGAATATATATTTTTAAAAAGATTTCAACGTTTCTTAAATCAAGGACCATAATCTAAAGATGTTATCATCCTGAGGTGCTGAAATTATGTTTCTATTACGCTCACACTTGAGGTTATCGCATCTACACCCCCCTCGATGAAGCGTGTCCAAATCAGGTCTGGTAAATGATGTTATCTCACAACCTACCAAGCCAGAAAAGTTAACTCGCTGCGTAAAATTAGCATTGTTGTGATACCTGAACCGTAAGTGGGCGTGTGTTGTCCTGTCATATGGCTCATGCAGAGACCCTGAACCTGTTCTTCAGTTATCTCAGGTCCTTAAAACATTTCCTATAATGCAGTCTGACTTATCATAACCATCCCCCCAAAAACCAAATTTCACCCTTAATCCTTTACTAAATCCTACAACCTATATTTTCCACCTTTCTTAATCCTATCTCTTCCTTACATTACATAAGACATCCTGAAGTACAGTTTATCTAATGTCTTTTGTTTCTTCTGTTGATTTATAGTTTATGATGGTCCTTCTCTCACTCAGTCTTCCTTGGATACTTCTCAGTGTTACTTTAGTTCCCTCTCAGTGTACAGTAGATGACCCAACTGTACCTACCTGACCTTGTTCTCTTTGTCGACCTGACTTTGCTGTTATTCTACCCGACTATATTATGTTTGTCTACCTGACTTTACTGTTGTTTTACCTGACCTTACTCCGTTATTCTTTCTGACCTTCCTGTGAGAAAATGGCAAGCGTGTTAGAGTGAAAAGGGAGTCGACATCTGCAGCTCCCAAATTACAATCTTTATCCCCCCCCCCCAAAAAATAAAAAATTTAACCAAACCTTCAAACAAGCTCGAGAGTTTCAAGTCGGGTGAACACGACAGCGGGGATTAAACTCGCTGGCGTGAAGACGATTCAACAACACTTTACCACCACATTCTGAGGAACATGTAACTGTATGTTATAATGTATTTCTGGAAACTCATTCATGCTCACCGCTCCAGAACTATGCTAAGTGAGATGGGTGTGTTGAGCCAGAGGGAGAATATCAATACACATTGATACTGAAGACTGTGTGCAGGTGGGTGACTGTGTGGTGTGTTTGCATGTAAGTTAGGTGAGGAACACATGAGAGGGGGCTGTATTAGAATACCTACCCATGGAGTCAGTGTTGTAACATGTGGGATGATGGAATACCTACCCATGGAGTCAGTGTTGTAACAGATGTGGGGTGATGGAATACCTACCCATGGAGTCAGTGTTGTAACATGTGGGATGATGGAATACCTACCCATGGAGTCAGTGTTGTAACATGTGGGGTGATGGAATACCTACCCATGGAGTCAGTGTTGTAACAGATGTGGTAACAGAATGAACTGCCAACAACCTCTTCCTGTTGTTTTATTATGAGTCAGTATTAGTTTTCTGAATCATAGAGACATATTCACCTTTATTGCTCAAGGGTCCTATGAATAATATAGTTGTTTAGTACTTAATCTGTATTGTCCTTCTGGCAGGATGCAACCAATGATGACAAGATCCTGTCATGCTGTGTCCACTTCTGCAGCGACACTACCCAGCGTCGACCCATCAAAGGTGATCTACTATGAGTGAACCAAAGTCAGTTAAACCTTTAGAAATTAATATGCATAATGACAATCAAGAACTGCTTTAGCCACCCCATAACAAAGGTATGGTGATAATTTAAGATCTCCCTTACCCAGCTGGTGTCCGGCGGCTATACCGGGAGGTGGTCCTCTTGACGGAAGACCGCAATTTGAGGGTGAAGGCTCATGCTCGTGATGTACCGGTGCGAGATCTTCTGGACTTCGCGCACTGGGCGGGAGTGAGGTGAGGTGTGGGTGGTGTAGCCAGGTGCCACCCAGTCACCACGGTCTCTGCCAAACAGTACTGCTCTGCTGCACACCTTGGTGAGTACACTACAAACATGACATCATGTACATACTGTACAGTGATCCCTCGGTTATCGAGCACAATCCGTTCTAGAAGGTTGCTCGTTAACCGAAACCATTGCTTCAATGGGTTTTTGGGTAATTGGTTCCAGCTCACCGAAAATTGCCTAAATTCAACAAAAAAGGTAGTAAAGTACACTTACTTTGAGGTGTGTATGTAGAAGGCTCCTGGATGATGATGATGATGATGATGATGGGAATTAGAATGGGGGTGGAGGAGAAGGGAGAAGAGATGGCATTGGGGTGGAAGAGAAGTCACCCCATGGTGCCATTTCACCCATAAATTTTAGTTCTCTTGGTGTAATTCAAGATTATTTTCTTTAAATCAACACTGCACTGCATTATATATTGTCAATATGTAAAATAAATTTCAAAATGACCAATAATTTGCTTGTAAACACAGAAAAAAAGCATTTAGTTGAAGAGAGTCTCAAGCAAGATGTTACCTCCACTGAAAAGACACAAAGACTGACACCTGTATGCTGTGTTGGCATGCCACAAACTAGTGACCTTACCTTCAATTATGTTCAATAATTGTTAAAATGACTAAAAAATTTAATATTAAACTTTTAAAATTATTGAATTGTATAAACTTCTTGATATTTACTAAAAGGGTAAGGAATTTAAGCCCCAGAACCGATTACTGTATTGGCAGACTAATACTACAGCTGGTGGACCACCAAATGCAAGCTAAAACATGTGGAGGTCGGCTCGTAAGAAACTCGTTAATCGAGGGATTGCTCGTTAACCGAAGTTAAGAATCTTATGGAAGGTAACTCGTTAACCGAAATCTCGTTAACCGAGGCGCTCGTTAACCGAGGGACCACTGTACTTGGTATGGGTTACAAATGTTTATTGAAATTGAATTCCATTTTGAAGTTTTGAAACTGAACTATCTGCACATCTATTTACTGATATTGATATTGTGGTTAGATAGTTGTCTTAATACAACCATCCTGGATGCTGGTATAACTTAAACTAATGGGTTGTGTTGTCAGACCATAAAAGATACAATACTGATAGAACCTTAATCCCAAGATTCAGACTCATGAATCTGAAGCATTTAAGGACAGAATTTAGCACTGCTGTCTACTGCTTCGGGTTCACAAGTTTGAATCTCTGGGTTCGTGGACCAGCAGAAGAGGCGACTGTATAATACGAGCCATCCTATTTGAGGAAATATCTGGATTCAAGGTTTTCAGATGTGGGTTTTTTGTGTAAATTAAAGATTTTAACATTCACCTCATGGCCAGCTGTTGTGGTGACTGGAGAGAGGAAAGGGTAATGGCAGGGGTAGAGTTGGACCCACAAGGCTATACTGGCATCACTGGCTTAGTAGGGTGTGTCATAGGAGGGAAGATCAGCTAAAACTAATGGCCCATCACTTTTTTGGTAGATTTTAGTGTATATAAACAGAAAATAATTTCAGTTTCAATATTTTGCAACCTTTTGCTAGGTAAATTTTAGCGTGAAATTTATCGAAAATCTAACGTACAGCTGCATTAGTGCATTACAATTAAATAGTGAACATTGCTTTCTGACTTCATTCTTTAACAACCCAACTAACAATATTTTTTTCTGTTTCAGATTCTGATGCATTTATAAGTTGATAATATTTGCGATGGCTGCTTGTGTCAGGACGAGGAACCAAAAATCCAGCCATCTCAGTCACTATCTTGGGTCTGGGAGAGAGCTCCTGAAGTCGGAGTTGCCTACATTGAGAGATGCTTTGAGATACGGTGTTTTAATCAGGCAAATCAGTGAAAAGAACCAAAGAACTTACACAAACAAAGACATTGCCAGTGATATGACCAAAGCTGTCTTGGCACAGTACACTCTGGCTAACGCTCAGCTCAAGCCTCCAGTCATAACAAGTCAGAAGAAGATTAGTGAGAGACTGCTAGCCAGTTGGGAAAAGGCAAGAGATATCTCTCTTGGGAGAGGAAAATTTGCAGTTAAGGACAGCTTTGCCAAGCAACTGGACCAGTTATTTGACATAATTACTTGCAAGTGCCCAATTGTTCTCTGTCCTGAGTTTGGATGCGATCGTGACTGTAAATCCGAGGCCCACATCTCCTGTATTTGCAAGCGTGAACTGAAGATTCCTGTGATCGAACTGGCATTTGTCAAAGCACAGAGAGAGAAGACTGGCAGTATAGGGGCTCTCATGATTTCTAGCCAAGATATTCCGGAGTCCAAGAGACAGGAGGCTGCCACAGAGAGACAGAAGAGGAGAAGAGTTGCCGAGGAAAAGAGACTTGAGAAGGCCCAGGGTGAGGTAAAAAAGGCCGATGATTGGAGTCAAGCTGATTCAGAGTTTAATGACTTCCCCATGGCTGATCCGAGTGCTGACCAGGAGAATGGTGACTTTGTCCCTAACCCAGAAAATAATGATCCCAAACCTTCCAGGCATAAGATTCGAAATAGGAAAGATATCGAGCATAGCTCTGGCCAGCATGCGACACCACACTGGTCTCAGAGAAACTGCAGAGATAGCAACAGCTGCCTGGATTGACGGTGGTTTGATAACACCTGATGATGTTCACCTGGTGATAGATCATAACAAAGTAAGGAGAGCTCAGGAGAAACTTGTCAGTAACCTAGAAGAGGAGTTTGATAAGGGGATAAGAGAAAATGGAATCAATTGTTTGTTCTTTGATGGGAGAAGGGATGACACTAAAGTGTTCATGAAAGTTGGAGATTCTGACAAGTTGTTCCCTGCCATGGTGAAGGAGGAACACTACTCCTGCTGCAGTGAACCAGGAGGGAAGTATTTGTGGCATTTCACTCCAGAGAAAGATGACATCAGGAAACCAGCTGAGATAGTGGCAGATAACATTGTGAACTGGCTCAGAGAGAGGAACGTAGACCAGACCCTGCAGGCCATTGGAGGGACAGCACCAACACGAACACAGGGTGGCAAGGGGGGTCATACAGTGGATAGAGCGGAAGATTGGGAGGAAGCTGGTCTGGATTGTTTGTGACCTCCACACCAACGAGTTGCCACTCAGACATCTGATCCAGGAGCTGGATGGCAAGACTCTTTCAAACAACAGATGGTCTGGTCCTCTTGGCAAGATGCTGGACTCTGCCACTGAGTTAGAAATAAATCCGAGCTTTGAAAAATCACAGTTGGCCCTCCACTCGTTGAGCTTGCACATACTGTCATTGACGACCTGAGTACTGACCAGTACTATGGTTACATGATTTGCAGTGCCATCAAAACTGGGGTCATGCCTGATAGACTTGCTTACCTGCAGATAGGTCCAGTCTCACATTCTAGGTGGCTCACAACGGCTCTCAGGTTCTGCAGAATTTGGGTGCTCATCATAAACTGAAAGGGAACCAGCTTCACAACCTGAGACTTATTGTCCAATTCATCGTGAGTGTCTACTTGCCAAATTGGTTCAACACCAAGGTCATCGTTCTCCGAAGGTCCGAGGCATGTTCTCTTCCAGCTTGAGCTCCTGAGGAGTCAGCCAAGGAAGGTTGTTCAGATTGTGGAGCAGACTGTGAGGAGATCTTCCTGGTATGCTCATCCCGAGGCAGTTCTGCAGACAATGCTCTGCAGTAAGGATGAGGAGGAGAGAAGAGTGGCAGTCAAAAGATCTTGGATATGAGACTTATGAGAGGATCTGGGCATGACGAATCCTTCAGGGTCAGGAAGACTCCTGAAGTCAATCTAGGTGCCAAGACCCTCACTGATCTCATAGATCTGGATAACATCCAGGCTGGCAGTGAGCCCCTCTTACCTGCAGCCTCACCAATTCAAGTCAGAGCTTTCCTGGACAACCCCATGCATGTCCCTGCCTGGCCCTCGCACACCCAGAGTATAGAGCGTTGTGTACAGCAAGTGAGCGAGGCCAGCAGTCACGTGTACAGCCAGGAGAGGAGGGAAGGCTACATCCGAGCTCAGGTGGTCAGCAGGGAGGTGATGAGTAGAAACAGAAGCAAGAAAGACATGTTCTCTATGGTGTGCAGCAACACCGGGTCGTAGTAGTAAAACCGTTTTTTGTATTTAATGATTTTGTTTTCTAAAGGAATATTAAATTTAATAAATGTGTCAAGATCATTCGTTTCACTATTCTGGATCATTTTCATCCTAATAAATTAACCTGATACATTTATTTTACTTTAAATAAGCTATTTAGTGGTGTTGCAAAAAAGGTGGGAATACTGAATTTTCATAAGATTTGCTAAAAATTTACCTAGCAAAAAATGAAACTTTTCAAATCTGAAGATATCACATGATTCTGCACATAGAACTACATCATTAATACCATGGGCCGATTTCAAACTCAAAAACAAATTGCCTCCCGTATGACACACACCCTACTGGCTTAGCATAGTGACTAGAAGAAATACCTCCATAGTGATATCAAAGTAAGGTCCCCCAGCTATCAAAATAAGGTCTCAGCAATCAAAAATAAGGTCTCAGCTATCAAAATAAGGTCCTGTGCCAACAAAATAAGGTCTCAGCTATCAAAAATAAGGTCTCGGGCTATCAAAGTAAGGTCTCAGCTATCAAAATAAGGTCTCAGCAATCAAAATAAGGTCTCAGCTATCAAAATAAGGTCTCAGCTATCAAAATAAGGTCTCAGCTATCAAAATAAGGTCTCGGCTATCAAAATAACGTCTCAGCTATCAAAATAAGGTTTCAGCTATCAAAATAAGGTCTCAGCTATCAAAATAAGGTCTTGGCTATCAAAATAAGGTCTCAGCTATCAAAATAAGGTCTCAGCCATCAAAATAAAGTCTCACCTGTCAAAATAGGGTCTCAGCTATCAAAAGAAGGTCTCAGCCATTCAAAATAAGGTCTCAGCTGTCAAAATAAGGTTTCAGCTATCAAAAGAAGGTCTCAACCATCAAAATAAGGTCTCAGCTATCAAAATAAGGTCTCAGCTATCAAAAGAAGGTCTCAGCCATCAAAATAAGGTCTCAGCTATCAAAATAAGGTCTCAGCTATCAAAATAAGGTCTCAGCTATCAAAATAAGGTCTCAGCTATCAAAATTTGGTCTCATATATGAAAATAAGGTCTCTAGTGAGGTGTTATCTTACTGATGTTGCAGGTGTGGGCAGAGTGAGTTGCATAGTTGTCGGGTGATGTCGTGAAGGAGCAACGCGGCATCAACCAATCAGCAGTCAGTCCCGGACATTTACGTCCCTGTAACTGCCTCTCACTTTAACCTATTTAACAAAACCAAAGTGGTTATCATTTCATTCACATATTACAGGTATGGTGATTAGAGGGTTTTTTTAGTACATCTGAAAAATGTTTTATTTGGGTTGATATTTTCTCAAAGCTTAATTAATTTTTTTTTTTTATTGTGAACTTATGTTGATGTAGATTAAGATGAGGAAGTTCAGCAATTCATCTGTAGCTGCACATGCTACATGGCTTCATTTTTAAGTTTTGGTTTTGGTTTTAATGTGAGAGTAAGTCACATAAGAATGTTGTTACTGATCTTTATGTGAGTTTCTGTGGCTACTGTTGACCTGCTTTACCAGTGGGGTGATGCACACAGACACACACTAACAGCAGGTGTGTGATAGTTGGTCCTCAGTCAGCCTCTGTCTTCTCAAACTAGATGCAGAAGTACAACTAATGATTCCAGAAAACTTCTTTATTGAGGATGAGTGGGTTATTTTATTACATCACATCCAATGTTTGGTGGGATAATTTAGTGTGTATGTGTGTATATTCATTCCAAAATTGTATAAGTGTCTGCATGTATATACAGTAAGTTGCTTTTCACCATTTTAAGATTGATTTCTTTGAAAATTTACATCAAGCAGCATGATTTTACAACCCTTTTCTATTACTACAGTTCAGTACAACACCTGTGAGCCTCTGAGTAGAAAGTTAAGTGGCTTATGTTTATGATTTTATTCTGTAATATGTTTCTGTGGACATTTTTTAGTTACAATAATGTTGTTTGAAAATTGGTTATAAAGTCAATCCTGTTAACCCTAAGAGAAGTGATTGAGTTAATTACAATAAGGAAGTACTGTACATAGTAGTAATTTACTTTTTCTAATTTTTTTATATAAAAATTCCAATAATTATCCCTTAATAATAAAATAATGATATTGATTTGAGTAACTTGTAACCTATTTTCTCCCAAGACTTGAGTAGATAATAAAAGATTTATTTTATCATTGTTATCATCAGTAGATTAAAAAATTTGTTTTTGCTTATATCACGGCTTAATGCATTTCTCAGACAGATATTATTCCTTGGTTCAGTAATTAGCAAGGAGCTGTTTTCAATTCTTAGTAGTTTATTGTGCATTCCCAGACACATGTTTCACTTTTGTGGGTGTTGGCCCAACACTACGGTATTTTACCCTGGATAAGTTATGTTTGGTCACGTAACCTCCTGTCCTGGCCGAGTCATATACGGTCTTGGAAAAAAGTCCCATCTCCATCTCATCCATAAACCCTGATACTTCTGAACCTGTCTCCGAGACGTCACCCATCGTTAGGCCTATAGGTGGTGCACTGTGTGATGTATTGGATTCACGAGTCTCTGGGTTCATGGATGAGACGGAGGACTGACAGGACTATTTTCCTGCGTGTATGAGCTTGTAATTTATATTTCTCTTGCTTTAGCTGTACAGTGTCTTGAGTTGCTGGAAGAGAAGCCTTGATGAAATGATCAAGAAATTCTGTGTTTTGTGTTTATGTTTTTGTAATGTATTATACTTGATATTCTTAATGTACAGGATGTCTGAAAAGTTCCTGCCTGAAGGGAGTACAATACAGTACTCGGTATATTTTTAGATGTACAGCACTGTTAGAAAAATTTATTGTTTCTATCTGTATGTGTAATATTCTGTATATAGTAATGACTTACATACACAAACATATAATTAATTTTTCTAACAAAGTTCTGCCAAAGATAGACTGAAAAATGTAATTGCTTGAGGAAGATATTTTTCAAACATTCTGGACATAATGATATCAGGAGTACAAAATTCCGCGGTGTACACAAAAACTTTTAGGACCTGATTAAGAGTAGGATTGGAAGGTTTGGTTCATTATCCCACACTGGGTATATTTTCCTTAAAGATGAAGTATTTTCTCAATAAATGTGACTATGGCAATTTGTACTTGATATTTATTTATCCGAGGATGTGTTGGAAAAAAATATTAGCCCGTAATGAATAGTAATTAGTGTGGTCGTTGTGGTACAGTGATACGAGCCTTCTGATGCGTCCACAATTAAAAGAAAGTTTTATTTCCCAACATATCCAGTAATTATATATTGATAGGCATAACTGTGTAAATACTGTATTTCTTATAATAAAAATTATCAAAAGTGTTTTCCTGCTCTTCCTAAACCGCTACACCAATATTCTCTCATCTTTTACAACACAGCCGTCAAGTGGTGTCTTACTGATGAAGTGTTTTCATTTGTATTTTTGTCAGTATAAACTTTTTAAGATGAAAAGAAAACATCATCCTTTGAGACTATCTTTTTCTTGGCTGTTCAGATGGTTGATTGTACACACACACACACACACACACACACACACACACACACACACACACACACACGTAGACCACAAGTTACGAAGTTTCATTTAAATTTTTTTTGAAGTTATGAAGCAAATTTTTTTCCCCGCTTTTTGGTTTACAAATAAAAAACCCAATTTTTTCCCCTCGGCATCAGAATACTGTATACTGAGATACTGACAAAACATCTCAGGGTTGGTCAAATTATAAAGATAATTAAACTAAAAAACAATGTACAGTATTAAGAGAGAGTAACTAAGTTAAAATTAAAATAGTGTCTTAGTTATGATGGCTCACAGGACCGCTACATGACGTAGTGGCAAGATGTTGACTCAAGATATTTTGTCTGTGGGAACGCTGATGTGTTTAGTGTCTCAGAGTTTGATCTAATGATGGGGAACTAAAGATAGTTGAAGCATTAATATTATTCCAAAGTAATATATAAATTATGCTAAAATATTCCCTTTTTTATTATTACTGGGCACCAGTTTGGTTACTTATTTAATGTTAATTTTTCCATCATGAATCAGTGGAGAGAATAAAATGTTCAGTGAATCAGGTTAGGTTTTTTCTTCAGATAAAACCTCATCAAAAATCAAATCAAGTGAAAATATTACATATCAAAATAAAACAGGATACATAGACTTATTGTTGATGCGTCACTTCCAAATTAAAATCATCTATCTTGGCTGGGGGTCGACTCACACTGCATCATAACCAGTGGTTCAGTTTCTTAGTAACTTCTTTGTCCTTTACAGTTGAAGTCTTGTTTATCCTAATGAAACATGAAAATTTTGTGGTTATTTTAGCCTCCAAAACATGTACAGTTGTCCACAGGTATAGTGTTCCACCCCTCAGTGACCTCTCCGAACATGTGGCCAACAAAATACTTTTTCGGTAAAATTTATACTCAAGATCTGCGCTGAGTAATATGATAGATGTAATATATGTAAAGAAGGTTCGACTATGATCCCGACGTTGCCACGTGTTCGTAAAGACCAATGGCATAGTGTACGTAGAGTAGAAAATAGAAACTACTCCTAATGATGAAAATGGATCACACAATGATTGGATGATAATAGTGACTTAAAACATAACATTCACAGAGCTTAATAAAAACAGTCAACATGATTCAGACAGTGAATGGATGATAGGACCAACTATAGCTAGAACCTAATACAGTAGGTATTGGTCTCCCAGAACACAGTGAATGCAACTGGTCACTGATATGGATGAGGTTCTTTAAGACAGTGCATAAGTGAGTAACTTTCTTCATGACTGTGTCTACCCACAGGAGACCCACCCAGGTAGTGTGTCAGGAAGAGCCTCGGCATAACTAAACACAAGGAACATATGAAGAAACACAACAACAGTACAGTACCATACAGGTAAGAGTTCTGTTATTTGCTGTACATGGCAGTTATGACAATTTCTTTAAGTGTCAGTATGAATAGTTTTATTTGGTGTTTTGTTCATATCCTAAGTCTATGTAAAATAGTATTTTGATTTTATTTAATGTACCTAAGAGTGGTAGTAACTCTCGACAGGAGCTGCCATGCACAGGCCAACCGGCCTATTGCAGACTCCTTATGTTCTTATGTTCTTATGTCAGTTAATTTTGTAATTATTATGTATTACTGTACAGTACTATGGTAATATAATTTTAATAGATGGTAGTTAGCATTTCATGCTAGGGGCTGTGGGAGGCTGCTAGGGGTGTGGGAAGCTGCTAGGGGCTGTGGGAAGCTGCTAGGGGCTGTGGAAGGCTGCTAGGGGCTGTGGAACGCTGCTAGGGTTTGTGGAACGCTGCTAGGGTTTGTGGGAGGCTGCTAGGGGCTGTGGAAGGCTGCTAGGGGCTGTGGAAAGCTGCTAGGGTTTGTGGGAGGCTGCTAGGGGCTGTGGGAACCTGCTGGAAGCTGTGGGAGTAAGCTAGGGGCTGTGGGGCTAGAGGGGCTGTGGGAGGCTCCTGGGGGCTGTGGGGAGGCTGTTGGGGAGCTATGGGGAGGCTCTTAGGGCTGTGGAAAGCTGCTAGGGGCTGTGGAAGGCTGCTTGGTTTTGTGGGAGGCTGTTGGGGGCTGTGGGAAACTGCTGGAAGCTGTGGGAGTAAGCTAGGGGCTGTGGGAGGGTTGATAGGGGCTGTGGGGAGGCTGCTAGGGGCTGTGGGAGGCTGGGGGGACTATGGGAGGCTGTTGGGGGCTGTGGGAACCTGCTGGAAGCTGTGGGGTAAGCTAGGGGCTGTGGGAGGTTGATAGGGGCTGTGGGGAGGCTGCCAGGGCTGTGGGGCTGTTGGGGATCTGTGGGAGGCTATGGGGTCTGTGGGAGGCTGTTGGGGTCTCTGGGGAGGCTGCTAGGGAGCTGTGGGAGGCTGTGGGGTCTGTGGGGAGGCTGCTAGGAGTGTGGGAGGCTGCTAGGAGCTGTGGGAGGCTGCTAGGGGTCTGTGGGAGGAGCTGCTGGGGTCTGTGGGGAGGCTGCTGGGGCTGTGGGAGGCTGCTAGGGTCTGTGGGGAGGCTGCTAGGGGCTCTGTGTGGGGTCTGTGGAAGGTCTAGGGGTCTGTGGGAGGCAGCTGGGGGCTGTGGGGCTGTGGGGTCTGTGGGGAGGCTGCTTAGGGTCTGTGGGGAGTATTGGGGTCTGTGGGAGGCAGCTAGGGGGCTGTAGGGAGGCTATTAGGGGTCTGTGGGGAGGCAGCTAGGGGCTGTGGGAGGCTAATTAGGGGTCTGTGGGGAGGCTGCTGGGGTCTGTGGGAGGCTAATGGGGTCTGTGGGGGCAGCTAGGGCTGTGGGGGGCTAATGGGGTCTGTGGGAGGCTGCTAGGGGCTGTGGGGAGGCTGCTAGGGGCTGTGGGAGGCTGCTAGGGGCTGTTAAATTTATCATAACCTAGAGCTTTTACAGAAGGGATCAAACACAAAGATCACAATTGCTGAAAAAATGTCCACGAAATTACCCTGAGACTTAACTATAGGGGGGGGGGGTTGAGTTCCTTCAGTCTCAGTTAGGACAAAAATTAGACGTAAGAAATTTTGAGAACCCAAACTTTGGATTCTGTCTATACTTCCCCTTACTAGACCATCAGGTGTAGTAAGTGAACGCCCCCGCGGCCTCCAGTTAAACGACCCCCCACAGCACTAAACGATTTCTATTTTTATCTTCCTTTTTTATTCATAATGATATAACTCTTATTTATCTTGGCCATCCAGTATTAGGTGCTCACAGAACCATAACTAAGCGCTATTATCCCAGGCGTGTATCCAGGGACTTCACCTTTATTGAAATATAAAAAATGGTGATAGGCGGTCAAACATTGTGACGTCAGACAAACGCAGGAGTAGCTCACTTGTATTCACGAACGCACGACTGCTCGGTCTTGTGTACATATGTGGCGTCGCACACGATGCTCTCATTATTGTACGGCGCGCTGCTGCTGCCTGTCTCCTCCTCCTCCTGCTCCTCTACATTCTCCTCGCATATACTTTCACAATATGAACCAACAAAGTAAATTCACAACGTCTGTTACATGTACTGTATACTCGTGTATATATATATATATATATATATATATATATATATATATATATATATATATATATATATATATATATATATATATATATATATATATTCATGTAGATCACAATTAAATGTGATAAGATAAATCTTGGAAAAGGTGCCCGTTGTTTCCCTTTCCCCGTGTGATTTTATCAAGATATATATATATATATATATATATATATATATATATATATATATATATATATATATATATATATATATATATATATATATATATATATATATATATATATATATATATATATATTATTGTCTAGGGATAACTGGTTCATTGTTTTTTACAGCCTCTAACATCCTCCAACACCCCCTAGCACCCTCCTACAGCCCCGAACACCCTCCCACAGCCTCTAACACCCTCCCACAGCCTCTAACACACTCACACAGCCCCTAACACCTTCCCACAGCCCCCTAACACCTTCCCACAGTCCCTAACACCTTCCCACAGCCTAACACCTTCCCGGTCCCTAACACCCTCCCCAGCCTCTAACACCCTCCCACAGCCCCTAACCTTCCCCAGCCTCTAACACCCTCCCCAGCCCCTAACACCTTCCCTTCCCCTACAGTCCCTAACACCTTCCCACAGCCCCTAACACCTTCCCACAGTCCCTAACACACTCCCACAGCCCCAACACCCTCCACAGCATCTAGCACCCTCCCACAGCCCGTAACACCCTCCCCTAACACACTCACACAGCCCGTAACACACTCACACAGCCCCTAACACCTTCCCACAGTCCCTAACACCTTCCCACAGTCCCTAACACCTTCCCACAGTCCCTAACACCCTCCCACAGCCCGTAACACCCCCAACTTCCCCTAACACCCTTCCACAGCCCCTAACACCCTTCCACAGCCCCTAAGAATGGACGTAGGTGGTGGTGCATGGCAGGAGAGAGAGAGAGAGAGAGAGAGAGAGAGAGAGAGAACCACAACACACACACACTGCCTGAAGACTAACCGGTGTATTGTTGACATAGGAGTACTGTAGTGTGGTATGTGACAGCTGTTAACATGGACGGACCTGCTGACATGTATATTTAGTATGCAAAGTGTATTAATGTAACGTGTGGTGAGTCAAGGTGGGCGATGAGAATTATATATCGTGTTGCGTATGTGAAGGATGTATGTGGATGATGGGGATGATGACGTTTGTGGATGTTGAGGATGATGTGGATGTTGAGGATGTGTGTGTGTGTGTGGATGTTGAGGATGATGTGGATGTTGAGGATGATGTGGATGT